TAGGATGGGATTGTCTTCCTAAATTTGGTTATGATTTCATTCAATAAAACTCAATTTCCATTCAGGACTGATTTTAAAACATGCCTTGGCTGTGCACGGTGGCTCAAGCCACCGTGTGCTATGATCACAGCACTTTGGGATGCCGAGGTGGGTGGATCACCTGAGATCGGGAGTTCAAGACCAGCCTGACCAAAAGGGAAAAACCCCGTCTCTACTAAAAATACAAAATTAGCCAGGTGTGGTGGCACATGACTGTAATCCCAGCTACTCGGGAGGCTGAGGCAGAACTGCTTGAACCCGGGAGGCGGAGGTTGCTTTGAGCAGAGATTGAGCCATTGTACTCCATCCTGGGCAACAAGAGCGGAACTCCTTCTCATAAATAAAATTTTATATATATATATATATATGCCTTAAACTATAATGTAATGTATATAAACACATATACTGAAGACTAGTATACATTGATACATGTAGTCAGGAAGAGGAAATATATAGCACTGTTGGAATCAAGTGATATATGTAGTTAATCAAAATTTTCTTGTATTAGTTAATTCATTTAGTCTTAAGTATTACTTTATTCCCAATAGAGAGAGAACATAGTTAATGAGAGTCTAATGATTTACATCTTTAAATATCTTCCCATTGTTTGCCCCTTCTTTCCCTATAATACAAGCAAACAGGCAAGTAATAATAATAATAAATAAATAAACCCAATAGTTTCCTTTTCTTTATTTTAATTTTATTTTTTTAAAAGATGGGGTCTCGTCAGGTGTGCTGTCTGATGCCTGTAATCCCAGCACACTGGGAGGCTGGGGTGGGTGGATCACGAGGTCAGGAGTTTGAGACTAGCCTGGCCAAGATAGTGAAACCCCATCTCTACTAAAAATACGAAAATTAGCAGGGCATGGTAGCAGGTGCCTGTAATCCCAGCTACTCAGGAGGCTGAAACAGAGAAATGCTTGAACCCGGGAGGTGGAGGTTGCAGTGAGATAGTACCACTGCACTCTAGCCTGGGCAACAGAGCGAGACTCTTGTCTAAAAAAAAAAAGGATAGGGTCTCACTCTGTTACCTAGGCTGGACAGCAGTGGTGAGATCAAACATAGTTCACTGCAGCTTTAGACACCTGGGTTCAAGCGATCCTCTTGCCTCAGCCTTCCTAGTAGCTGGGACTACGGTGCATACCACTATGTCCAACTAATGGTTTTTTTTTTTTTTTTTTTTTTTTTTTTTTGCCCAACTAATATTTTAACTTATTTGTAGAGAAGGGGTCTCATTATGTTGCCCAGGCTGGTTTCAAACTCCTGGGCTCAAATGATCCTCCTGCCTTGGCCTCCCAAAGTGTTGGGATTATAGGTGTGAGCCACATGCCTGGCCAGGAATACACTTTAAAATAATATACTATCAACAAGAATTGGAAGGAATGCCAGTTTTAAAAAAAGAAGACGGTATAGTAAATACATAAACCAGTAAGAGCCACTTATTTTGAAGTATTCTGTACTGTACATAATTGTACTGCTCTACTTTTACACAAATGGCAACACTGTAGGTTTGTTTATACCAGCATAACTGCAAACACATGAGTCATGTGTTGCAATAAGACCTTAGGACAATGACAGTATCACTAGGCAAAAGGAATTTTTCAGCTCCATTGTAATCTTACAGGGACCACCACTGTAGATTGGGTCTGTAGTTGATCGAAACATTGTCACGTTGTGCATGACTGTGACCATTTGTTTCAATAGACATCATAGCAGGTACCTCATTCTGTTTTGGTAGGGTGAAATAACTACGCAAAACCTCCCAACTTCTTGTACTCGTCGTCTTTAAATATTCCTTTGGCCAGAATTGTATTATTACCTTCTGAAGAATGAATGATGGCTCTTTTTCAATCTGGGTTGGGCTTACACTAAATTGTATTTCATTTTTAATTAGTGGATACTCTTTATCTATTAGAGATGGGTCAGCAGTTTCATCTGCTGATTTATAATTGGCAGCTGGTTGAAAAAATATATATATTCGTTGTTTTTATTTTTTTTTTTGAGATGGAGTCTCATTCTGTGGCCCAGGCTGGAGTGCAGTGGCCCGATCTCAACTCACTGCAACCACTGCCTCCATGGTTGAAGCGATTCTCCTGCCTCAGCCTCCTGAGTAGCTAAGACTACAGGCGCCTGACACCATGCACAGCTAAGTGTGTGTGTGTGTGTGTGTGTGTGTGAGACGGAGTCTCGCTCTGTCACCCAGGCTGGAGTGCAGTCATGCGATCTTGGCTCACTGCAACCTCCACCTCCTGGGATCAAGCAATTCTCCTGCCTCAGCTGCCTGAGTGCTGGGGACTACAGGCACCTGCCATCATGCCCAGATAATTTTTTTATATTTTTAGTAGAGATGGGGTTTCGCCGTATTAGCCAGGATGATCTCGATCTCCTGACCTCATTATCTGCCTGAGTTGGCCTCCCAAAGTTCTGGGATTACAGGCATGAGCCACCATGCCTGGCCTGTTGCTGTTTTTAAAAATGGGATCTCACCATGTTGCCCAGGCTAGTCTCCAATTCCTGGGCTCAAGCAATCCTCCCACCTCAGCCTCCCAAAGTGCTGGGATTACTAGTGTGAGCCACCATGCCTGGCCACTTTTTACTATATGGGGATAAATAAAGACATTTCTTGGTGGAAGAGGACTATTGTAGCAACAAGCTTTTCATGAATTGTGTGTCTCCCAATATGCCATTTGTTTTGACTGAAAAAACCAGGTCCAGGTTGAATGCAGATTTCCTCCTCTTGTTCCTTTTCTGCCCTCAAGCCTGACACAGCTTCCAAACTCTATCACATGAATGTGAGATTAATGTATTATAGTTCCCTCAAATACTATTTTACTTCCAAGAAATAAAAGAATTGTGGAAATGGGTAAAAAATTGAGAGCAAGAGTAAAAGGAATGTGGGTGTTCCCATATCTCCTCAAGTTCTACCAATTGTCTATTTCTGAAGTGCTGTCTACATTTGGCCCAATTCTTTCTTGTGTCTCTTCCTTTCAAAGGTTGGCTGTGGGGGTCAGGTGCGGGCGGTGGCTCATGCCTGTAACCCCAGTACTTTGGGAGGCTGAGGGGGCATGGATCAAAAGGTTAGGAGTCCAAGACTAGCCTGGCTAAGATGGTGAAACCCCATCTCTACTAAAAATACAAAAATTAGCTCAGTGTAGTGGTGGGTGCCTGTAATTCCAGCTACTTGGGAGGCTGAAGCAGAGAACTGCTAGAACCCGGGAGGTGGAGTTTATAGTGAGCTGAGATTGCACCTGGGCATGCAGCCTGGGAGACAGAGCGAGCCTCTGTCTCTAAATAAATAAATAAATAAATGGCTGTGAAGGGTGTCTAGCACGTCAAATAATAGCCTCCAAGAAAGGAGTGAGCTTTGATTCCAGTCAGTCCGCTGTTCTGTGCTAGAAACTCTGAGTCTGATAAAGAGGCAGATGGGATGTGGCTGCAGTTTAATCTCCTCTATACATAACCCAATTAAAGACTGAGGTACAGATCCTCCCTATGAGTTAGCTTATCAGGAATTACTTTACTTGGCTGTCAAATATCTAGCTAGGAGGAAGATAGCACCTGAGAGAAACAATTATCTTTAAGAAGGACCAAGTGGGCTTCAGGAGGAAGAACAGGCATACCTGGAGAGTTTAGTGGGAAGATAGTGGTGGAAGGAGGCATGAAGCTAGGACAGGAGAGAAGAAAAGAAAATAGATTAATCATATTTGGAAACTTGTCTAGATCTTTCAACGGTTGGCTGTGAGGCCGGGTACAGTGGCTCATGCCTGTAACCCCAATACTTTGGGAGGCTAAGGGGGTGTGGATCACGAGGTCAGGAGTTCAAGACCAGCCTGGCTAAGACGGTGAAACCCCTTCTCTACTAATAATACAAAAATTAGCTGGGTATGGTGGCACACGCTTGTAATCCCAGTTACGTGGGAGACTGAGGCAGGAGAATCGCTTGAACCCAGGAGGTGGAGGTTGCAGTGAGCCAAGATCGTGCCACCACTGCACTCCAGGCTGGGTGACAGAGCAAGACTGTCTTCGGGCGGGGCAGGAGGAGGCCAGGGGCGGTGGCTTAAGCCTGTAATCCCAGCACTACTGTGGGAGTCTGAGGCTAGCCGATAACCTGAAGTCAGGAATTTGAGACCAGTCTGGCCAACATACAGTGAAACCCCGTCTCTATTAAAAATGCAAAACTTAGCTGGTCATGCCTGTAGTCCCAGCTACTTGGGAAGCCGAGGCAGGAGAATTGCTTGAACCTGGAGGAGGAGGTTGCAGTGAGCTGAGATAGCACTAATGCACTCCAACCCGGGCTACAGAGCAAGACTCTGTCTCTCTCTCTCTCTCAAAAAAAAAGATTTATAGTACGGCTAAAATTTTTCACAACAGATTTTTTCCTGCCTAATCATTTGGCTATTTGTCTTTAACTCTTACAGAAAAGTTGGGTCATAGTCTTGGTTTTGATTACCCATCTCAGTGTCATTGATTGTGCCACCTAAATTTTTCTGGACCTCTTGTTGGTTGAATGAGAGGGTTGGATTATGTGATCACCAGGACCTTTCTAATCGTCATCTCCTAGAATATACATTTTGTGGATTCAGTCTTTAAGTCTAGCCCACTTACTCGGTTTCCTAAATATAATGCCTTCTATTTGGAGCAAATATGGTATACTTTTATTACTAAGAATATATCACTTACTCCTAATGTGAGCTGACTGCATAGGTTATAATTGTAATCATTCATTGCATTTCTCGTCTATTTGCAAATATACGTGCTCTCCATAGATAATCACGTCTGCTCCTCACAACAGCTTTATAAGGTGGATTTTAAAGCTCCCATTTTACGGAGGAGGAAGCTAAGGCTCACACAGTTTTGATTCATCCAAGGTCAAATAAATAGAGTGGCGGAACCAGAATTCCAGCCCCGTGTGTCTGGCAACAAAGCCTTTATGTTTAAAAAAACATTAATGAAGCCGTATATATTTTCTGATTCTAAGGATCATGGACATCGTTTTTCAACCATAGATTTTTTTCCCCCTTTCTTAAATCATTAGCTCTTGTCTTTGATTTTACTATTTGCTTACTTCCTGCCCACTTAACCAACCGACAGGGAAGAGAGTAGGAAGAGGTTACTGTTTTTATGTTAAGTGCCTTTTCAGAGTCTAATTTACAGCCAAGAACAGCAAAAGAACCCCTTGGCTTTGTGCCTCTGCGGCGCTCTGGAGACCTTTTCCCTCGTCCCTCTTCCTTTCCGAGAAGCCGCGTTCCGTCGTTGAACTACGTTTCCCAGCGTGCCGCGCGGCCGAGAGCGTAGGCTCGACCAGTCCTTCCTCTTTGCCTATCAGCTCGTCGCAGCGTGATGATGCAAATGCGTCGGGCGCTGATGAGTGACGACATTCTGGTTCGCGACCGCAGCAGCCGCTTTAGCGGCGGTAATAGGCGCAACGGCGGCGGCGGCTGCAGAGACGACGACGACGGCGGGGCGGGCGCTGAGCGCACAGGGGAGGGGTAGGCGGGCGGCGCCAGCGGCTTCAACTGCGGCAGCTACGGCTAGGGCGACGGAAGAACCCCACCAGCCGGCGGTCGAGTTAGGCCTCAGCAGCGCCGGGAGCTGTTCGCGCTGTCCTCTGCGGGAGATCTCCATAGAGACCGTGACATACAGAGAGGCGGGGGTCCGCAGAGGCGGCCGGACCGGAGCCAGCTCCTTGGCCTCTGCGGCCGCCACCCCCTTCCCGGCTGCCAGCACTCACCCTCTCTCCGCTCCTGCTCTCAACCTCGCGGTTCCTGGGGTGCCTGTGCCCACTGTGTGGACAGCGCGGGCGGACTTTGGGCCGGGGCCGGGCGGGGGGGCGCTCTAAGGCCTCCGCCTCTGCCTCTCCCGCCCCCTTACCCGCCCCGGAGCGGGAAGCGGCGGAGGCTCCGCCATGGCCTCAGGAGCCGGAGGAGTCGGAGGGGGCGGTGGCGGCAAGATCCGGATGCGGCGTTGCCATCAGGGGCCAATTAAGCCTTACCAGCAGGGGCGACAACAGCACCAGGTATGGGACCTGACGACGTGGTGGTCTGGCGGGTCGGGAACTCGGCTGGAGGGGACAGGCGGTTCGAGGCCCCGGCGCCCCACGTGGAGCAGACAGGAGGGCCTGAGGAAAGGCCCGAGTGAGGCTCCGGGGGAGCTCAAGCCATTGGGGGTGGTGACGGGAAGTGGGCTGAAACAGGCCCAGCTTTGCGGCGCACACGTGTGGTTCGGGCCGCCTTTTCCCCAACCCTCTGGGCCAGGGGCTTTCCCAGGCAGGCTCTGGGCGGGAAAAGAAATTGTAGGCCTAGGGTGCCGGTGCGCGCGTTTCTTTCTTTTTTGGCGGGGATTGGGAGTTTGAGGGTATTACGTCCTTTCGAGAGAGAAAGGAAAAGATGTGATTGACGGCCCTTATGCTTACTGTTTTCTAGTCTCTCCTTCAGTGTGGGGAGGAGGGTAACCCCGAAGAATCTTAACTCTGGGGCAGACAGGGAGTTGTTGGGGGCGCTGTTATATGGAAAGTGGAATAACTTAATCTCAGCCTATGAATTAATTCTCGGTTTCCCCTGCCCGTGTCCCTCGTTTTGAGAACATTGGCTTATATTTTCGTAACCGGGTTATAGTTAACCGTGGCACTGGGGCATTTTGAAAGTCCCTCTCCACCCTTACGTCTTTTCTCTGCTGCGCGACTCCCCCCCCCCCTTATTTTGGAGGCTGGAATTGGCCATTCTCCACAGTTGACCGGGACTCCCGCTCTGATCTCATACACAAAATATGTTAATATTATGGGGCGTATTTTAGAAGTTTAGTTACTTTCGACACTCCAGGAATGTTGATGATCTTATAGTTTAGCCACTGTATGGACTCTTGGATGTTTAAAATATAAAAAAAGATGATCCTAATTGTAAATGGGATCGTTGATTCCGAGAAAATTCCATTTTTAAAATACTGCTTATTAGAAGGATTAAGGAAATGTTACAACACCTACTTTAATAAAGCCACTTAAAAAACTTACCAATGATACAAGGTGGGAAGTGTGTCTTAACAAAAATGTAGCAAAAGGATCTGATAACTTGTTGCCTGCTGTTAAAGGTAGACTTCCTAGATTACTTTATTCTGGATGCTAATGAAGATTGCACACTTTCACATGTTCGATGTTGTTAAATTGTGTCATTATCAACAGATTTTTAAAAGTAAAGATTTGAGGGATTTTTAAAATTTCCTTTTCTATTTTGAGGGAAATGTCTGAGTAGTAAAAATTGTGGTTCCGGTATTTTAAGTCGTTCTCTACTGATGGTTAGAAGGTTTGGCATTGTTATTACTCCCACCAGTTTTTCCCCAGATACGTATGTAAAGTGCTTGGTTTTCAAATTTCTGAAGCACGGGGGTATTTGCAAGCAGATTTAAGATTATAATTCAGTTCACAAGCCTGGCCATTTAACCTAATCCTTCTGTAGAATGAAAGTTAGACGTGCATGCTTTCTTTTCTCTTATGAAGGTCTTTGAGTGCTTAGATTTTCTTGTATGACATACAGAAAAATGGCATGTTTTAAATATAGGCCATTGGGTCTGGGTAGAAGTTAGCAAGGAATTAATATTTGCCAGATGCTGAAGTTAATCATGGCTTATTTTTAAATGCACTTAGATAAAATACAAGTGTAATTTTGGGGAGACGATGCCTTGGCAGCATAACACCTATGATCCACGTTGTCTTAGAGTTGATATGACTTCAGACTGTTTAGTTTTGTTTTAAATCCTGATAATTTATCATTGCCTCCTGTCTGAAATACTTTTGCCTCTTGCTTCTGGCTATTAAAAAAGAAAACATATTTTAGCTTTTGAATTGGGAATTAAAGGTATTTAGGGGTTTCTTGGTCAACACTGTAGGTGCTATTTAATATTGGCAGAAACTACCACTACCCAAGGAAATTATTCAGGTGTATTCAAAAGAATACTCTCCTTTTTATTATTATTATCATTTAAAAAATAAGGACTTCCTTAGTCCTTACTGGGACTTCGGTGGACCTAGGGTCGTTAGTCCTTACTGGGACTTTGGTGGACCTGCTTGCTGTCAGCTATCCTAGACTGTCAACTGGATGTTTTGCAGCAGCTGCTGAGTCATCATGAAGCTCCTTGCATGTTTGATACTAATGTTATTTGATTAAGCGTCCAAGGGTTTCTGGGCAAAAATGAAGCTTTTGGTAGTATAACAGAAAGTTGAAGTAAGAATGAGAGGTCTGGCGCTGTTAGTTAATGGATGTTTGCCAATGCTTGTCAGGCCAACTTGCTAGTGCAGTCTTCACCCAGTACCTGTGACTTCTGCATATGTTCATTTGACTTGCAATTTCCTGTTTTGACTTCTGGGTTTAGCTCTCCTGGGAAAAGCTGTAAATTTACCACTTTCCCTCTTTAACTTCTGATTTTTTCTTTTCTTTTTGAGACGGAGTCGCACACTTTTGCCCAGGCTAGAGTGCAATGACGCGATCTCGGCTCACTGCAACCTCCTCTGCCTCCCGGGTTCAAGTGATTCTCCTGCCTCAGCCTCTCAAGTAGTTGGGTTTACAGGCGGCCACTACCATGCCGGCTAATTTTTTTATATATGGTAGATATGGGGTTTGCCGTGTTGAGCCCATGGGCAAACCAGAACCTTGCCTCTGGAAGAACTACTGCCACCTCCTGGTGAGAGGAAACCACTTATTTTTGCCCTTCTGGATGGGGGTGGGGTGGGGTGGGGTGGGGCGTGTGCTTGGTTTGGAGTCAAGGGACTCCACCTTTAATTCTCCTAGATATAACTTGTCTTACAAGTCAGTTCCTGCATTTAGCTTTTTCTCTCCCCGTCTTCCCCACCAGACAAAGTCTTGCTCTTTTGCCCAGGATGGAGTGTAGTTGCACGATCTCAGCTCACTGCAACCTTGGCCTCCCAGGTTCAAGCAATTCTCCTGCCTCAGCCTCCTGAGCTCCTGAGTAGCTGGTATTACAGGCACACTATACCACACCTGGCTAATTTTTGTATTTTAGTAGAGAGTAGGTTTCACCGTGTTGGCCAGACTGGTCCCAAACTCCTGACCACGTGATCTGGTGCAAGCCAGCCACTGTGCCTAAGGCCATTAGGTATTTTTTTTAAAAGGGGGAGGAAACCTCTCTTAGATTTGGGGTCAGTAAACTTTTTCTGAAAGGGACACAGTAAATTTTTAGGCTCTACTGTGGCAAATTGTCCTTTGTTTTGAACAATCCTTTAGCAAATGTAAAAACCATTCTTAGCGTGTGGAAAAATAGTCCAAGGTCTGAATTTGGCCCAGCCCACAGATCATGGTTTGCTATACCATGGTTTATATAATAGTGTAGTTTTTATTTGTTTTGGTAGCTTCTTTGTGATACTTTGTCCCAAATAAGTATGTCCTGCCTTTTATCTGATGACTGGAGTGTTCTCAGATTTGAAAAGGAGGGATATTTAGAGGTTAAATATTTAAATTATTCCAGAAGTCACCAAGTTTTTGACTTTTATTTTGTCCTTTGCTTTATCCTAGATGCTTAATACAGTCAGTGGGAATAGAAATGGAAACAGTTGATAGGAAAACAATGTAGTGTAATAGAGTCAGCCTGAGTTTGAATCTCTGTTCTACCCTGACTTGGACAAGTTAATTTACTCATCTGTAAAGTGAAAACTGTTGTGGAGATTAAATGAGAAATGTAAGTGAAGCTTTCAGAACAGGACCTGGCATATATATATAAGTAAGGAGTTATTTAAAATTGAGTCCTTACTGTAGATATGCCATTGAAATTTGAAATTAAATAGAACCATTTGATTTAGGGTCTTTTTTTTGTGTGTGGGAAACTGGAGTTTGTTATTACTCAAATTAATCTCCTGATTTAGGGTCTTTACATTGTCTCTGAATTTTCCTGCCTTATTACAGGTTTTTTTCCTTTAGGTAACTAATACTTTTGTGTGTTTAATTGTTTAATGCAAAGTAGGGCTTTTGTTTGTGATGAGAGGCTTTGTGTGGTATTACATTAATTTACTTACCAATTTTTCTAATAAGTGATTTTAAAAGCCCACTTGCTGTATCCATTTTCTAGGAAGTACCTGACAAGGCAGTTATCTTAGTTTGAAGTAAAATTAAAACTTTGGTCTGATATCACTAATTAAAACATTCTCTTTTTTTTTTTTTTGAGACAGAATCTAGCTCTGTCACCCAGGCTGGAGTGCTGTGGTGTGATCTTGGGCTCACTGTAGTCTCTGCTTCCCAAGTTCAAGTGATTCTCCTGCCTCACCCTCCTGAGTAGCTGTGCCACCACTTTTGGCTATTTCTGTATTTTTAGTAGAGATGGGGTTTCACCATATTGGTTTGGTGGTCTCAAACTTCTGACCTCAAGTGATCTGCCTGCCTTGGCTTGCCAAAGTGTTGGGATTACAGGCATGAGCCACCGCGCCCAGCCAAAACCATTTTCATTAGGTGCAGAGTATTGTTGCAAATATTGTAATTATCTTGTATTTTCTTTTTTTTTTTTCTTTTGACATGGAGTTTTGCCCTGTCACCCAGGCTGGAGTGCAATGGTGCGATCTCAGCTGATTTCAATCTTCTCCTCCCACGTTCAAGTGATTCTCCTGGCACAGCCTCCTGAGTAACTGGGAT